AAATCGTTCACGTCGGGCGACCTCGTTGCCTACAAATCGTGTGTTAAATCCTCGAATCCTCCAACACGCGAGATACATCTAAGTGGGCACATTTTTTCAGGTAAACCAATAAAATAATTGGATAAAATGACATCGCGCATTGCAAAGCGCGAGTTAACCTTTATAATCCAAAATATCGCGAGATTTATGGGAGACCTCGTTGTCTGCAAAGCGCGAGGTTCTTTCGAATTTCATATAATATCCTAATTTGAAACGTAGATATTAAATAAATATAATAAATAAATATAATGATATTAATTAATAATATTAATTATTAAATATAATGATATGAATTAATAATACTAATTATTAAATATAATAAATAATTAAAAATAATAATATATAAATATAGTAATTAAATAGATATTTTATCAAAAAAATTATAATATATTTTGTAAATTTTGAAATAATGAAAATTATGTGTTATATTATATATAATAAATAATTAATATTATTATAATTATAATATACTTTGAAACTTAAAAGATAAAAGTTAGCATCAATCTCGCGTCTTGCAAATTGCAAGGTACTGGGAACAGAATAAATTCTGTGTATTTTCAATGTTACTCGCATCTTGCAGGACGCAAATTATATTTAAAACTGCGTTTCTCCAGGTACGAGAAGGGCTATAACTAGGGTTCTCCACTCCTATTCATCACCACACCCATCTCTTTCATACATTCAAAAATTCAAAGATTTCATATCATGACGACGAGTCTACTAAGACATGATCGAAGTCACATATTCGATTATTGGAGGCAAAATGATGAGGTAAATTAATTAATATTATTTTTATTTTTACTATTTATTTATTTATTTATTTTGGTATTTAAATAAATTTTTAATAATATATCCCTTTGGATAGCGTCTCAACACATATGGGGAGACATTCTTTTACTGGTGTACCTGACGTTGATCTTTGGGAACCGGTTCATGAGCGGTCTCATGAACGAAGAACACCTGCAGCAGCGGTTAACTTTGATTTAAACGAGGCTAAACTATTTCGCTTTGAGGAGGATCATTATAACGATTAACCTATAAGGGAGCTCAACCCCGATGGTGATGAGTTAGGCCCCTTCTATGAAGAACCATAAGACCTTGACATGCCACCAGAAGCAGAAGACAACAAAGAATAAGACGCGGCTACAACGGTTCCACATGTTGCAATGCATATTTCTTATTACCAACCACCATCGCATTTTACAACAATTTATATGGTAGCATTCAATGCTCCGAAATTTTCCCAATTCCCACACATTGAGCAATACAATCAATATAGTGATGGTGATCTCTATGTTGGAATGGTTTTCATGTTAATATAATGTTTTAAATTTTCATTATTTATTTTGATTTTTTATTGGTAAGTTTGCAATTTTATTTACCCTTTTTACGAATGAGTTTTAGGACAAAAGAACAAGCAATGGCAATCAAGAACTACAACATACATCGCTCGTCACGTCAACTGTGAAAAAACTTATGCGGATAAGTACATCGTCGAATCTCTCCAAAAGAAGCAGGGATGTAATTGGAGGGTTCGTGTATCACGGTTAAAGACGATGAACAACCTTTGGAAACTCACAAATACATCCAACCACATACATGCACCGCCACATCTTGAAACAAGATCACCGTAACTTGGATGCGCACGTGCTTTCAGAAGCCTTCATTCTGCTGCTCAAATCAAATCCATGTTACGGTATTGACCTGTATTTCTTCAGTTACATCACTATACGGGTACACAGCTGACTACCATAAAGCATGGCATGCAAGGTATCGGCACAAAAAAAATTCAGCCAATGGGAGGAATCATACAATGAATTCTGGACATGGCTTAAACTGATGCAGAAACACATTTTGGGAGTAATTGTGAAATTGGAAACAGTCCTAGCGAACGAAAATAATCGTGTTGTACAAGGTGTCTACCAATTCTACCGACTCTTTTGGACTTTTTCGCGATGCATTAATGCATTCCGACACTGCAAGCCGATTGTTCAAATTTCGTCTTCGCAATTGTTGAAAATGAAGATATCGACTCTTGGGAATTCTTCCTTACGAACTTACAAACATATGTTTTATCACATGTGATGAAGGATAGAGATGATGGGATTTGTCTTATTTCTGACAGAGGCGCTGGTATCAAATACGCACTCCAACATTTGGGCCCATCTTGACATCCCCACAATAATTATCACTGGTATTGTTTACGACTTATTGTCATAAACTATTTGCAGAAGTTCAAGAGTCAAGATGAGCATCTAATGGTGCTTCGAATGGGTACAACTTTCATCATTTTCGGTTTACCATATATACAAAAATTATTTCAAATTAATTGTTTCACTTTTTATTGATAGGTTACACACAGTCTGTACGTGAGTTTGAGGACCTGATGCAGGAACTGAGACACATGAATTTTAAGGGCTTTAACTACCTTGCTAGAATCCAAAGGAGAAATGACTTCCATCATTTAATGGGGGTAGACGGTATGGTTATATGACAACGAACTTGGCTGAGGCAATAAATTTATCACTAAAGAGAGTGCGCCATTTGCCTATCATGTTCGTTGTCAAAGCGAAATATTATAAACTGGCAACCCTTTTGCAACCTTGGGAAGGCAAGCTGACTGGATTGCATGTGGCCACCAAATCCACCAGACCTCCTCAGAAAATTGCAAACATTCCAGCAGCATTCCAACGCGATGAGTAACATATGCTTCTCTCGCGAAATGTCATTATTTCGTGTATCAGAATTTACGAGGCCATTGGAAGGCGTACTACACAATGCATACGTGGTTAATTTACGAGAACAAACATACGAGTACGGATTCTTCCAAACTTTCAAATACTCGTGTACGCACACCATTGATGCTGCTTCTTCTGTTCGGATCTACATGAGATTCATTGATCGGGTTTACTTACTTGAAATTATATTCAAGGTTTATGAATATGAGTTCCCTCCCATTAGAAAGATGATGATGAATCTACAATACGACCAGATTATGCACTACAACGAAAAAAACTGGTCTTCCACGGTCAACCCAGATTTTTGTGATGGGGATTTGGTCGAACATCAAGAAAGAACTAGACAACTGAAAGTATGTTCTATATGTAGGAATCCTGGACGCACGAAGAACAAATGTCCCACTACTCAGGCCCAGTATCAATTAAATGGGCTTTTTGCATTATTTTTTTAATTAACAACACATATTACTTAGTTTTTAATTTATTTGATTTCTTCATGCACCAAATCATGCATTCCAACCTTTTCCAACACGATTTTTACCCTCATTAAAATATCTCGTACGTGGCCAAATTAGCCTTAACATATATATAAGTTGCAATACTATACCTCTGAGCATATAAATTCTGAAATCACTCATATTTACAAGCCAGAAATAACACTTCAATATGTCTATCAAACCATTTTTCTTCTTCCTTCACAAAACCATGATTTCTAACCATTTTCAACGTCATTTTTATCCTACTTAAAATGTCTTATATATGATTATATTATAGTCACCTTAAAGATAAATTGCAACACTATGCATTTATAATTAAAATTAAAAAAAAACCAGTTTCCCACCCGGAAGTAGTATCCGAACAAGTCTATGGACACTAAAGGGATGATAGGAAATCTATTGTCCTCGCGCTTTGCAGGCCGCTAGATCCCCTATAAATCTCGTGATATTTTGGATCATAAAGGTTGCCCCGCGCTTCGTAATACACAAGGTCATTTTATCCAGTTGTTTATTGGCTTATCTGGAAAGTGCCCACATCGGATGTATCTCGCGTGTTGAATGGTGCGAGGATTTAACATGTTGTTTGCAGGTTGCAAGATCGTCCGATGTGGACGATTTAGGGGTTATTCTTCCAAATAATTTCTAGATGACCATATTTCTTTAAATAATTATTTATTTGGGGTTTTTAATATAAACTTACCCCAATAAGATGCAATTTTTTTAGGGTTGGAAATTGAATTATATAATAAAAGTGTTACGTTCTTTTAATTCAAATTTCATCTTCCACTTGTTTACTTTTTGACATGCCACGCCAAAGTGACCAAAATTTCTAGGAAAATCAGCACCCTCTTCTTGCTTAAACTCGCACAAAACAGTACTAGCAAGGAATTTTCTTATAACAAGAAACCAGAAATAAATTAAAAAAGTCTATGCCGCCACCAGATACGCACAACCAACAGTTCAAGAAATTCAAATGAAAGACTTTGTGTAATAACTTTTGGAAACTATGTATTTGGCCACATATCTATTCCCACGATTTTGATTTGTTCAGTCAACTATTTTTTAAATAATTTTTAATGTTACATTTTGATATTATTTGATTACAAGCCACTAAAAATAAATATAAATGTTTATATGGTAACTTTTTAATTTTTTTCATTGATGATGTAGTATTACCTTGTAGTAGTGACATGCCATCATCAAATTAATTTTTTAATAATGAATTGAGTGGTCAAAATAGAAGTGCGAGAGTAAGTGGGTGACTAAATACAGTTTTCCCTAATTGTTTCCAAAGCGTTGACAAATCTTATATCAAATTTCCAGTCTCTTAGCGTGCTCTTCCCAGTTTCCTACACTTTGCTTTCTCATTTGCCACCTTCTTTTGCTATCTTTGACTCCTCCATCCATCCACCGTATAATGAACTATAAATCATTATGTAAAAAAAATAAATCTTCACCTCTTATACACTAACTTGTCTCCTTTTCCCAGTGAAAAAAAACCCTTTAAAACTCCTAAAACCCTACTATCACTTCCCAAAGATCAAAGCTTTTGTTTTTCTCTTCATCTTCAAATGGCTTCGAAGATAATATACGTTGTCTTCCTAATTATACTTGTTGCTGGTTCTAGTTTGGCCAGCCGGCCTGGCAAACCATGGTGATCGACGACAGAGTTTCAATGGCCAATTTCCCGAGAAAGTACGAGATGGGTTTTGTATACCAAGGGCATATGTTCAACTTCTTCCCCAAAGGGATCCCTATACCATCTTCTGGTCCCTCTAAAAGGCACAATTCTGTCGTCGATCTACTCGAAACTGAGTAAACTGTTCCTTCTTCTGTAGTCTTAAAGTTTTTCTTTGATATAGGTGTTAGGATTGTCTGCAGAAAAGGGTTTGTTCTGGTAAAAACAGGGCTTTTCTCTTTTAAGATTTTTGGGATTCATAGATATATACTGTAGTATTGAAGATTTGTTTGTTGAAAATTTCTACTGGTATTCGTTTTAATATTGAAAAAATGCAGAAGGATGTACACTTTGTTGAAATGAATTCAATTTGTTATGAATTATATAATCAAATGTTGGAGACGATCTGGTTCTGTTTTCACGTTTATCTTTGCAAACTCGGATGGCATAGGGCTACCTGCCTCTCTAGACTCTGTTTGTCTTTTGGGTAAATTAGCTGCCCATATATTCCTGTACTTTTGTTTTGCTCACCTTTTTTTTTTTAAATCATACATACCGTTATGTTTCGATTCCGTTTTAATTAGTCTACGTTGAACATCAAATAGAATTACCACGTGTCAAATTTTTTTTAAAAAATTTAATGATGATATGACATTATCTTATGATGACACGTCAATAACATCGTTAATTTTTTTAACTACGGATACATGTGTATTTGGCTCAGTTAGATTTTTTAATAAAATATGGATCGAATACCACTTTGTGAGTTTTTAAAACTTAAAATCGAAACTGAAACCGAATGACATAAAAACCACAGTTTTTTGTTCGATTTAGTTCGGCTCAATTGTATTCAATTTTATCATTTTTGAGTTAATACTATTTTTTAAACTCAACCTCTAAAAAAATAAATTTAAAGTTTAAATCGAATGCAAATATATACATTTAAATTCATAAAAAATATTATTAGTTTTAAGATTTTATTTATTTAAATTTGTCTTATAATAAATTTAAAATAAATTTGCTTTGGATACTTATTTTCTTTTATCTTTTTAGTTCGATTAAAACAATTTCATATAAAAAAATGAAATCGAACTGAATTGTATAATTATTTTTTAAAACTGAATCAAACCACAAATTATAAAACTTAAACCAAATCAAATCAAATCATATAATTTGGTTCAAATAGATTTTTTCGGTTTTCTAAGTTTCGTTGCTCAGCACTAACAACGGGTGACCAAATTGAATTAAAATGTAATGTTATATATGATTCTGAAAATATAAAATTAAGTGACCAAAATGAAACTGTAAAAATAAATAGATGACTCTATACGTAGTTTATCCTTGTTTTTTAATGGGGTTTTTGACTTTAGATTGTCAATAAAAGCCAGCATTTAGATCGACTTTCAATGCATTAGGAAAGTAAACTCCAATGGCTGCCGTTCAAATCCAAACCATCTTGCCTTTGGTATTGAAATAGCCTAGAGTTGGGCACGCCTTCTTCGCCCCACTTATTTAGGGTCGTCCATTCGATGTGGAATTGAAGAAGAAGCAGAGTTTTTTATGAATGACTTTTATTGAACAGAAGAAAAAGAAAACAATTTGAGGAAGATAAGATAAACCTAAAGAATATTTTAAACCAAACCCATGCAACTAAGAATTTCGGTGTTCGAAAACGTTGAGTAACCTAAATAGTTAAAAAGAACTTTGTTCTCTAAATTTGAGCAATTGCGAATATAGGATGCGCATGTTATCAATGATTAAAAGAAAAGTAAACTACATCATATACCATTGAACTTGGGCATTGTATTGTCTATGCCACTAAACTTTCTTTTTTGCCAATTATAGCACTGAATTTTGATTTTTGTTTCAATTATACCACTGAATCGTTAAATCATTAACGACATGATGATGTGACTGATGGTTGTTAATGATTTAACGGTCTAATGGTACAATTGAAACGAAAATCAAAGTTTAGTGTTATAATTAGTAAAATTAAAAGTTCAATGACATTTGGTGTAGTTTATCTTTAAAAAATTATAAACAAATTTTATCTGATAATCACTCTAAATTGTTAAAAAAAAATTAGTTCTTTGTATATTATCACGTTTGACATATGTTACAAAATTGCCTAACTCAATTGAATATTAAAAAGGATTTGTGTTGACGAAAACGAGTAAAGAAAACGAAAGAACACGAGAATTTTACGAGGTTCGACAATGTGCTTACGTCCTCGGTGCCTAAGCGGCGCTAGAATTTTATTCAATGATATTTTAGGTCTAGGTTACATCTCTATTTATAATAGAAAACCCTGGTACATAATTACAAAATCAACCCTGTACCGTACCGCGGGGGCTACGCCCCCGCACCCCCAACCCACATATAATTTGTAACCCCACAACGAGACTTTCTTTGTAAGGACAGTTGATGTTCGCTTCGCTCACTCCACTCCATCTCCTGTCCTCTTTACTGGTATATTTATGAGCCATACCTAACAAATCTCCACCTTGGCGAATATCCTGCCCCTTGGAAACTTCAATGTGGGTTGGGTTACCTTGCTTCTTTAACAACTCGAAAACATTCAACAAGTCCAAGCAATGCTTGAACTTGTCTGTCGTAACTGGCTTGGTGAACATATCAGCGGCATTCTCATCAGTACCTTCTGAAACAAAACCTCCAGATGCAACCAACTCTCTGATCTTGTGAAACCTTACATCAATATGTTTAGTTCTAGCACGATACACCTGATTCTTAGCCAAGTGAATAGCACTTTGATTAGCACAAAGCAACTGAACTCCACCTTGTTGAATACCCAACTCCTTCACTAAACCAGTAAGCCATAAAGCTTCTTTTGCAGCTTCAGCCGCTGCCATGTATTCAGCTTCAGTTGTAGATAGTGCCACGACAGATTGAACAGTAGACTTCCAGCAAATAGGCCCTCCACCAAGAGTAAACACATACCCTGTCGTAGATCTTCTATTATCCAAGTCACCTGCATAATCTGAATCCACATATCCTACAACCAAAGGATTATCCGCTGACCCAAAAACAATTCCATGTCCCACAGTACCCTTTAAGTACCGAAAGATCCACTTGACTGATCCCAATGTTGCTTACCAGGTTTAGACATGTACTTACAAACTTGACTAACAGCATGAGCTAAATCAGGACGAGTACATACCATCGCATACATCAAGCAGCCAACAGCATTAGAATACGGAACCTTTGCCATATTTTCAGCTTCCTTATCTGTCTTAGGGCACTGTTCTGATGAGAGCTTAAAGTGATTCGCCAATGGAGTGCTAATGGTTTCGCGCTGCTCATCGCAAACCTTTCTAGCATTTTCTCAACATAACCCCGTTGAGATAGCCGCAGTTTCCTTGAGTCTCTGTCCTGCAAATTTCCATTCCAAGAATTTTCTTTGCAGCACCTAAATCTTTCATATCAAATTCCTGACTCAATAAAGTTTTCAAACCGATAACATCATCCATGTTCTTCGCAGCAATCAACATCATCAACATACAGTAATAGAAAAATAAAAGAACCATCATCAAGGCTCTTAACATAGACACAACAATACTCACATCGGTTGTAGCCAATCTTGATCATATAGGAGTCAAACCGTTTATACAACGTCTCGGAGACTGTTTTAACCCGTACAAAGATTTCTTCAATCTGCAAACTAATGCTCGTTTCCAGGTTGAGTGAAACCTTCAGGTTGCCGCATGTAGATCTGCTCCTCTAAATCACCATGCAAAAAAGCAGTTTTAACATCCATCTGCTCTAAATGCAATCCCAACTAGCCACCAATGCAAGTACTGCTCGGATTGAAGTGTGCCTGACCACAGGAGAAAAGATTTCATCATAATCAACTCCTTTCTACTGTGAAAAACCCTTCGCTACCAAACGAGCCTTGAACTTCTCCCCCTCTTTTTCTGTTACTGCTGGTTTCTTCTTATACACCCATTTGCAACCAATCGGCTTCTTACCCTCAGGAAGGGGAACTAACTCCCATGTGCGATTGTGATTCAAAGACTCCATCTCCTCAACCATGGCTGCCATCCACTTGTCGTTTTCCTGACTAGTAACGGCATCATGAAAAGTAACTGGATCATCACTGCTAACAGTAAGTGCAAAAGATACCAAGTCTTCAAAACCCAATCTGTTCGGAGGCTTTATATTCGTCCATCTCACCCTGTCTCTGGCGAGACTATAATCCTGCAAATCATCCGTAGTGGAACCACCAGAAGTCGGTTGAGAAGTTTCTGGTTTCTCAACTGGAAACTGCTCGAAATCTACCACTGTCGTGTCTTGCTTCTTCTGCAACATAGACTGTTCATCAAAAACGACATCTCTACTAATCACAACTTTCTTCGCAACTGGATCCCAGAACTTGAATCCTTTGACACCTTTCTTGTAACCCAGAAAAATGCACTCCTTCGATTTTGCATCAAGTTTGGATCTCTCATCAGCAGGTACATGCACATAAGCAGGACAACCAAAAATCCGTAAGTTACCAAAAAGCCCCGCATTCAACCGCAAACATCTGGCTCTTTCATTCAACGACCTGTTCATTCGTTCCGCAACACCATTCTGTTGTGGTGTCTTGCGCACTGTAAAATGCCTCTGAATCCCATGCTCCTTACAGAATTGTAGGAACTGTGAATCTGTGTACTCCGTACCATTGTCAGACCGCAAACACTTGATTTTTCGTCCTGTTTGGTTTTCTACCTCAGCTTTCCACAGCTTGAACTTCTCAAAAACTTCAGATTTCTGTTTCAAAAAATACACCCAAACTTTCCGTGAAAAATCATCAATAAAAGTAACATAGTACCTAGATCCACCCAAAGACGATGTCGTGGAAGGCCCCCATACATCAGAATGCACATAATCAAGAATCCCTTGAGTTGTGTGCTTCGCAGTCTTGAAACGGACTTTAGTCTGTTTACCAAGAACACAATACTTGCAAAAATCGAGCTTACAGCTTTTGACACCATGCAACAAGTTTCTCTTGTGTAATTCTGCCATACCCACGTTCACTAAGATGAGCAAGGCGCATATGCCACAATTTTGTCGTATCATCACAGGACTCAACAGAGTGAACTCCACCTGCAACGGTACTCCCTAACAATCTGTAGATATTCCCTGCAGTCATCTTGCCTTTCATCACAGTCAATGCTCCTTTAACAATCCGAATGGTTTCCCTATCCTCGTCAGCCTTAGGGATAAAACAATTCTTGTGCAAAGTGCCCAAGGAAATCAATTCTTCTTCAAGTCTGGGATATGTCGAACACCACTCAACGTCCGAACGGAGCCATCGTGCATCTTAATTCTGACATCACCAATACCAACAATATTGCAACATCGATCATCACCCAAATAAACCGAACCAGAATTAACCGGCCTGTATGTCGAAAACCATTCCCTATTTGGCGTGATGTGATAAGAACATCCAGAATCAAGAATCCAAGCATCCGTCAATTGTGTCGTTGAAATAGAAAGCATATCACCCTCACTGCAATCAGAAGTATCATCCTCGACCACGTTCACAGACTTGGATGAGCCATCACGCTTTCTCATCAGTCTGCTTTTTCAACTTCGGACAGTCTCGCTTCATATGTCCCGCCTCCTTGCACTTGTAACAGTGAATCGTCTTCTTATCCCTGGATTTGGATCTGGAATTCCGCTTCCCGGACCCTGCCTTCTCTGGCTTCCGTCCACGATCTCAATTACCCTTGACATATAAGCTATCGGCTTGAGAGCTTTCCCCTGCATTCTGCTTCCGCTGGTTGTGAGCCAACAAGGCTGCAGTAATCTCCTCAACGTTGATAGTCTCTTTCCCATATGTAAGAGTAGTCACCATGTGTTCGTAAGAGGAAGGCAACGAACACAGAATCATCGCTCTGTCTTCATCCTCAATTTTCACATCAAGCCGAGCCAGATCAGAAACGATTTGATTGAAGACATTCACGTGTTGCGCCAAATCGTGATCGTCCTGCATCTTCAGCCCATACAGCCGCTGCTTCAGATACAGTTTTGTCGTTAAGGATTTGGACATAAACTGACTTTCCAACTTCCTTCAAATTTCGTCTGGAGACGATAGATGCATGACGTGATACATGACCTCGTCCGCCAAGCATAATCGTATGGTTCCTGCCGCTCGCTGCTGCAATTCTTCCCAATCTTCCTCATCCATCGACGTCGGCTTTGTAGGTCGCAAAGCCTTCAAGATCCCTTGCTACGCCAATAGATCCTTCACCCTCGTTTGCCATAATCCGAAGTTACCCTGACCATCGAATTTCGCGACTTCAAATTTTGTTCAATGATATTTTAGGTCTAGGTTACATCTCTATTTATAATAGAAAACCCTGGTACATAATTACAAAATCAACCCTGTACCGTACCGCGAGGGCTACGCCCCCGCACCCCCAACCCACATAATTTGTAACCCCACGAGACTTTCTTTGTAAGGACAGTTGATGTTCGCTTCGCTCACTCCGCTCCATCTCCTGTCCTCTTTACTGGTATATTTATGAGCCATACCTAACAATTTGTTAATAATTAGAATAACAAAGCAAGTACGGAATGGCACGTCGACCTGAAATTATGGGAACAGGTAAGATGGGAAGCTTCATGTTGATGGATCATGGTACACATTTGCTTGAATTTTGGAGACGAAAAAGCTGCAATCTTTCTTAAGACCTCTACCGTGAAGACGTGATGAGAGAATTCCAATCTCACCGGAATCTAGAACCTAGGCTGGCTGCCACTAGGTTATGATTCGGGTTTACTGCTACTAAACTCTGCTCTAGCGGAACCTTATTATCAAGCCAAGAATTAAACCTATAATTCCAAGAAATGTTCTCCAATTTGAGGTCAAATGGCGCCACCATTTTCCAATCCACAAAGAGAGTAGCATGGGATCATTCCATATTGCGTCATAGCATCTTGCTCCGGCAAAATTGACCCAATACAGTAAAAGGAGAAAATAATTAGCTCGAGGGCATGTAAAAAATTATTTTGGGGTTTACGACACTTGTTATAGTATTTCTGGATCTCGTCACATTGAGGTGATGACTTCCAATGGAAAATATATTTTATTCGATCGATTTATTTGATTGAATTTTTTTTTTTTTTCTTGGAATCGTCCTGTCGAAGTGACGAGTCTATAAAATAATATTTTTTCTAATATGAAGTGTATTTTTAAAATACGAAGATAAAAAATAAATCAACGTCATGCTGATGTGACAAGTTTCGTATATCATTGTGAGGTTTTTTAGTACAAAGCATTAAATAGTGTGATTGGCCACTGAAATGAAGTTATATATTACTAAAAAAATTAAGGAGGTTATAATAGATTTTGTTTATAAAAACATTACATTAATCCCAAACCAGAAAACATTGCATTTAGGAGATAAAAACAACGAAGCATAAACGTTGCATTAAAAAGATAAAATACCAAACTTAACACATTACGCCAAGATAAATAACAAATCTTACACACTTTAAACAGTAAATACAATCATAAATATACGACTATTCTTTAAGTGTTTTAGTCCTCATAATCAGTAGACTCGTCAAAGGTAATATTCACTTATTCAATTCTCCATAATTTTTCTTGTTGTCGTTCACGTATGAATTGGAACCATACTTTGAGGTCTCCATAATCTATCTCTATCTTCATCATTATTCTTAATTGGTGGGATATTCGAGCTAGAAACAACTCACCATACGAGCAAGGTCGACAATAGAGAACTCTACAAACAAATCGACATTAGATATAAAATGATAGTAATATGTCTCAACCATACCAGTAAGGTCAACATCATCGCTTAAATGAAACCTCGTGCATAATAGTGATAATTTATAATATAATGAATATATTCTTCTATTGCTTCCAAGTTGAACCCTTCTTTCTATTTCCAACTTAAACTCGTTTAGTTTAATGTTTTTTAAATACATGCTTAAAGATTTGCAATCATAAAAAACAGTTGCATGAATAGTAACTATGTTAGGAAAAAAAGTCAAGCTTTGGAAGTGAAAGACTCAAAAAAAATTTAAGATGTTTTTTGCTTCAAATGAGTAAAATAGCTTTCACCTCACACATATTTATAAGCCCTCAAGAAACATATCCTGTAGGATGAGATGATATAACAAAAAAAGGTTTATGAAAAACAACATAATATTAAATAAAAACATATAAAAATATGTTTATATCAGTCTTTGTCTTATATAACACTGAAATTAAGTGATATATCACTCAAAAGTTTCTAAAGTGAAGTGATTATGCACTGAAAAGTTTTTGTCATTGTGTATTAATTGGTGTATCAAAAAATGATTGTAACACCCATATACCGTATATGTTTCCGTATACGAATACAAATATCACATCACTTTAAAATATGTTTACTCATTTTGAAAAACCTTTAAAATTTTTTGCAAACTTAATTCCACATAATTGAACATAATAGATAAGTATTCATTAATACATATTACAAAATATTTTGTTAAATTTAATTGCATGCCAGATAATTTTCCAAAATGATTTATATTGTCCTAATGTTACTGGTGAGTCAATCTTAGTGGAAGATATATGTTGCTACGGTTTCACTCCTTACTTGATTATTCTTAGCTGTTACCTAATCGTGAAAACACAAACGTTAAGTAAATACTTAGTGAGTCATAATATTGTAAAGTAACATTTATGTATACATAAGTATGTCATATTATTGAATTCACGTCGAATTGTATATTCTTTAGGGATTTTATTTCTCAGTTGAACTATATTCCATTCATGTTTATAATACACCAAGTATAGCATATTTTTATGTCGATAATGCACCCATATTCATTTCAGCCATGGCATCCTTTCATGCCAATAATGCACCCATATGCATTATTATTTTATGTCGATAATGCACCCATATGCATTTCAACTATGGAATCCTTTCATGCCAATAATGCACCCATATGCATTATTCTTATATGCCGATAATGCACCTGTATACATTTCAGCTATGTAATCCTTTCATGCCAATAATGCACCCATATGTATTATTCTTTTATTCATTCGTTATAGAGCAATTCATACTCTAAAACTCATTCATAATATTCTTTTCATACATTAAATAAAACTTAATAACTACTATAAAACATACTTTAAAATTTAAACATTCTAATTAGACTTATTTCATATTGTCTTTAAATAGATTACATACAATAAATGTGCTCACCTGGCTTTCCTTGCTTTGATATCTAAAACACACAAACAGCTACTCCGGAACTTGGCCTTTGCCTTTTGTTTTACTTGACTCAGGAACTTGATTTCGATATATTCCATATCCATTAGATACATGTATAATATCAATTGTTAGTATATTTCCTAACAATTATATTTAAACATTACTAAAAAATACTTATTATTAACTTTTCCACAACAATCTTAGCCTTTCATACAATTTCTGGTTCCACAGTATCGATACCCCTACCATGGTATCGATACACCATACTAGGGTACAGATACCTTCTCATGGTATCGATACCATTTTTGCATTTTGTTTTAAAATGGTATCGATACATTCTCTTCAGTATTGATACTCCCCCTTCAGTATCAATATTGATTGAATCACTATCGATACTATGCAGCTGATTAATCCCATTTTAGCCTATAGTATCGATACTGTTCTATCAGTAACAATATCCGTGCCTAGATTTTTCCAGTTTTTAACCCGATTAT